AGATCCAGCATCTTGTACACCCCCAGTTTCCCTTGCAGCTGGTAGACATTTCTGCAGTTTTATCAGCTCTATATCTAATTCCAYACAGCCCAGTTTTCACAAATGTACTTGGCTTGGCTCTGGTTCATTCTTTGTATAAAAGCATTAGCTAGACTGCTGGTAGTTTTCTTTCAAATTCTATTTATACTTCCCTCTCACTAACCCTCTAAGCAGAATGTGTTTTTTTGGTTGGTTTTTTGGGTGATTTTTTTGCTTTTTTTTTAATGGAGGAATTTATATCAACACCCCATCCTCCCATAAATATTGTTGTTATCTGTGATTAAGAGCATATGTCTCAGTCTGGTACATCCAATGCTATTGCAGAGTTATTTCCTAATTGTTCTTTTGCAGTAGAGCGGAGAATTGGATTTTAAATACGAGCTTTGTTTTGTAGGTCATGGGGTGAAATTGGTTAGCAAACCTCGGTAAACAAAATTAGTTGTTTTTTTGTTATTGTTTTGGATTAGACAGATTGATCTGCTTATCTCTTATTGGGCAAGTTTTTTATCTCCAAGGCTAGTTGGTTTAACTTGTAGAACAGCTTTTTCACACACCCCAAGCCTCACCCTTGCTCCTCAGACGCTCTCAGAATTGCAGATATTCTGACGTGGCCTCGTGCTGCAGCTTTATGTTCCTCAACCCTGCCCTGTTCAAGCAATTTTAAAAGCTGCAGGTTAGATCTCAATATTACTGCTAGAAATTGGAACCGACAATTTTCTAATAAAAATGCAGTGGATGTTAAATCGCTTTCTTGCAGATTAAACTACAAAATCTGAGTCTGTGGCATCAGGAATTCATGCAGGAGGAGTTGCAMAGGTCTGAGAGCCATCCCCTGCCATAGCTGGGACAGGCAGGAAGGAGGCATCTCCTGGGGCCAGAGATCTGTCCCTGCCTCTGAGCATGGCAATTTCTGTCCAATTTTCCATTTAGGACAACTCTGATGTTTTTAAAAGACCCACAAACTCCAAACACCAAATTTTTGGCTGCACCCTAATTAACATCTCCTTAACCATCAAATTCCTTCATCTGTAATTGGTTGTGCTCTCCTTGGCTGATGAATTTGCCCCMCAACCAGATGTACCCACTGCTGTGGACAGTTTTGTGCTGTCTCACCCTCTGTCTTTGTGCACAAGGGGYAGGGAACCAACCCGAGATGTGAAACTGCAGTGTTTGCTCCCCTTTTTGGATGTTTCTCCTCCGCTCTTGGCACAAATTTGAATTTTAATTCAGAGTGCCTCATTCTGGAGGCCTAAATGCCTACATAGAGCTGATGGAGATGGGCATTTTTTGCTGGAAGTCGTGCCAGGGCTCTGAAAATTGTCCAAAGTGCGTGTCTCCCACAAGACATCTCAGCTCTCCAAATGCAGCCAGCAGCAGAGCTGCATTCCTGAACAAATAAAGATTCTGAGATCTTTGTAGTGAGTCTCATGTTCTGTGCAGCAYCAGGGTTAAAGGATGTGAGGGAAAACACTTCCCAGGGGCCAGAGGGACTTGGCTGAGTGCAAGCCTGGAAGGAAGGATGCGGTGGGCAGAGAGAGAAATAGGGCTATAAATCCTCTTTATTCCTGCTCTGCCTTACACTGCCTGTGCAATTTCTCTGTTTCACAAACCAAGCTTTTAGCTGATGCTCAGTAAAACCTTGCTTTCCAGAGATTAAATGCTCTATCCTGGAGGAAAGTCCTGTGTCTTTTTGCTATGAGGCCCTGGCCACTCCATCATCCATTGGTGGCCCTGGGGTCTGAACACATCACCTGCAAAATTCCTGGAGCCAAAACCTGTCCCTTACAGGGGAAAACACAGAGATGCCTGGAGAACTGGCAGCTGCTGGGAGAAGGAGGTGAGAGGAAAAATGAGCAAGAGCTTCATGCTCTCCAGTCACTCTGAGCCGTAGAACCACCCTCCCTCTCCTCACAGGTAGCTGAAATAAAACTGGAGAGATCTACTCTTTCAGAAAATCCAGGGAGAAGTGGCCCAGCTGTGCTCTGTCTGAAGGTGAGGATGAGCTGCTKGTTCTCTTCATGATGCAAGGGAGAGAGACAACGGAGGGAGGGAACATGGCAATCTCCTTCGTGATTTATCTCCCATGTGTGACTTACTGGCTAGAATATATGTTCAGGTGACAAGGAAAAGGAACAATGTAATTATTCCTGCCTTAGCTGCGAGCACAATGAATCTACCTGTTGTTCTCGCAGGGGACATCTAATTAAGCGAGGCAGGGACTGGGGAAGGAAGGAAGGAAGGAAGGAAGGAAGGAAGCATGAAATACACACATCAGAATCTTGCATGTAATGCTGAGGAGCTTATTGCATGGCTTACAAAACCCTTACCTCTCTGCTTCTTCCCAAAATCCACGTGAATCCCCCTCCCTGCAGCAGMAATCATCCCAGGCTTTCTCAGGAAATAGGTGAGCGTGATCACATCCTGGGGCTGGTTCAAACCACTGTGACCCCACCACACCCCTGGGAAGGGGCTGTGTCAAATCAGAGAGAGAAAAGCAAGCCAGGGTGCTGTGAATGGGTTTGGCACCATCCATCAGCCCTGATTTGAAGTTATTTCCTTCTCTCTCTTGCTCAAAGCCCTTCTGGAGGCYGCCAGCTGTGTCTCTGGTTGCAGTGCTGTACTGTTAACCAGGCCCAGGCACACTGTAAACAAAGGGTTTTGCATCAGGACCTTCAAAAAACACAGAAGTCCCCAAAACTYGCAGATTAAGGCTTGCAGCACCTGGCCTTGGGGAAAAAAACTTCACCCCAAACACTGTCCATAGATTGTTTTTGCTGTAAAGGGTAATACATGTCTGTCTTAATTTATTTTCAGACACTCATAACTTAGTAGTGGGAGCTTATTTTGTTTCCCAAGTAGAGTGTCAATCTTATTTTACTACATTTTTGAGAACCAGAATGTGTAAATAAAAGAAGGGGGAAAAAATATGCCACTGGGGCATTTGTTCTCGTGGGTTTTAAATGGCTGTTGGAGCTTTCTGCTGAGAACATCCAGCGTTATTTTAACCAGGGCTCCCAGGAGCTCTTGCTCTATCCAGTTTTGTAGGGCAGGGAGGCTTTACCACGTGTATTCCAGAAAACCTGAATGAGAAAAAAAGAGAGAAAAGAAGGCAGATCTACAGTGGCTGCTCTGGATATTCCCCCCCTCCCTTGTTTCTTGTCAGCAAATTACAGAATTTTGCCCAGCTCATTTAACSTATTAAAAAGGCCTTTTGAAACTTTAAAGTAGCCAAGATACTGTAATAATGCTAGAAAACCTCACACAATAGCAGACAGAAAAATGGATAAGAGCTTTTATTGTGGAATCATACGAAGCCAATGGACTGTGCACAAAAAAGCATTTCAGCACCAAGGCACTCTGTCCATCACCGGGGCATCAGCCCTCTGGCTGTTTGCTCTGATGACAGCTCCAGTGAAACTGGGGCTTTCTGRGGCTGTGTGATTTTTGTCATGGATTCCAGCAGGGCCATGATTTGGCTGCTGAAGGTCTGAGGCTAATGGGGCTGAGAGGTGAGCWGTGAGAGGGGGGAGGTGTCGGTCATCTGGGTAAATTGGAGCAGCCAGGAGGAGGTCAGAGCATCTCTCTGCCAGCACTGAACAGTTTGGGATGGCAGAAGCAGAGGATTGTCTGGGAGGTACAGGGGGTAGGACTGACAGTGCCAAGCAGGGCCCAGCCTTAAGAAAGAGGCAGAGAGATGTCCTTGGCTCTCTGCACTGCAGGAGGAAGGAACAGCCTTCATTTCCTGCCCTTCTGATTGAGTTCAGCCCATTTTTGCCAAGACCATCCCAAACTAGATGGCATCCCACTGCCCTGCCAACACCCAGCAATGACCTTAAACCTGCACAATGATTCCTCAGGTGTGGCTGTTCCCACCTGCCTCATTCTGCACCTTTAATGGGATTACACACAAACATTAATGCTTTGCTGRAAGAGCCATGGCTTTATTAGCCCTGTGAGGTTCGTGTGGAGCTTTGAAAAGGCCAGAAGTTTCCCTTGGTTTCAGGCATGGCTCAGTTTTACTCATCTCATGTTATCCTTTTTCTCACATGACCAGCTTGCTCTGCTTTGAGCTCTATGAACTCATCACAGATGTGCACATGGCTGGAAAAGAAGAATTTTGGGTTGAGTGACAAAAACCATGAGTTCAYAGGAGGTTTTTGGTCATCAGGTGCATTTAGTCACTCAAAAGCTGGACTTTTGAAAGGTTTCTGGAAAGGAAATGTTGATAAAAATGGAAAGGAGGCAGTGGTAGTGCAAGAGGGGAGGAAAGAAATGATTTATGATGAAGCCAAGGCAGCTGATCTGAAAGAGATAATTATTCTTCTATAACTGGCCAGGGAATGGGGGAGCCATTATGTGGATGAATGGAGACAGCAGAAGCAATTTGTCAGCCTGACTTGTTTGAGTGAGTAACTTCAATTTCTCCTTGTCTTCTTCCAAGTGATTTTTCTTTCATGGTCACATAGGAATGTTTTTTACATTTCAGGCTCTCCTGATGCTTGCCTGAGTGAGGGAAGGGTAAAAGGAGGACTTTTGCATGAATATCAGCCATGGCTTTTTGCAGCAGTGCCCACTGGCAGTACTGAAACTACATGTGCAATGTGCCCATTGCTCTCAGYTTTGGGGGATTTCAGGCTTGGCTGTAAAAGATTCCTTCCCAAAGAAAATTTGGAATTCAAAAGGCAGTCYAGGAGCAGAAGATTTCATTGTTCATTTCCAGTGGATATTATTTATTTGCACTTTTGATTGAAGTGAACAAAAGCTTTTTAYGAAGTTTTCACTTCACAAACCTAAAGCCACATTATGTGTGCCTGTTGTGCATCACATTTACATGTTCCCAAATGTCTGGGTTTATTTCTGAAGGCATTTGTGGTGACAGCTCCTACATATTCTACAGTGCTAAATTTTTCCATCTTCTTTTAGGAGRGAGTCACTTCCAGGACTGGGATTGAAAACCAGACATGGGGCTGGATGGAGATGAAACACAGAATGAGATGGAGGTAAAGGACAGAAAGAACTCCTGAACACATCTGTGCCCCTGCACTACCCCTGGTGGCAAGCAACCCCMAAAATGTCCCTCTTGTAAAACTTTAAACTGATTGAAAGCCACGAGAAAGATCCATCAGGAAAGATGCTCTCAGAGCCCATCAGTGTGATGTCTCTTGTATSCCAAATGCTCATGCAGATTCAAATCCATTTTTTCCCTCAGACCCTCTCAGGGCTGGTGAACATTGACTGGACAGATCTGGCACACCTGGACATCCTGAGCTCCAATGTTGTCTGCTCCATTCCTGGGGTGGCTTGGGGTTTCTCCACCCTCTGGGTGAGTGATCTGCACTTAATTCTTTCTTCTGCCCGAGCAGGAGCACACCAACATCCCTGCCTTACAAAGAGACTGTAATCAGCTGGCAGCCAGCACTCCCTCACATCCAAGTTTTGGGGTTTTGGGCTCCTTCCTGCAAGGTGGAAAAGAAGACCTTGGATCATCTCAGGTGAAAAGCAGAATTTCTCCTGACTCCCGCTTTGGAGGTGCCTCCTTTCAGACTATTAGATAAAAGCCTAGACAGTGATGCAAGAAAAAGCATTTTTCCTGGTTATGTTTCAGAAGAAAAGAGGGAACTCTGTGCTTTGAATAGAAGAAGCCCTGAGGTGGATGCCTGATTTTTCATTAGTTTGGTCTTTTAGTGACCTTAGGGATTAGTGAGAATTTTAGGAGCACCTGAAGTTATGACAGTCTTTGGAAAATGCTCTTTCTGGCTTCAACCTGGCTCTAAGCAGAGACTGCACATTGTTGTGTTGCAGCTTTCCAGTGACCCCAAAGAGGAGCTGTGAGTGCAACTTCCATGCCTACTCCTTGTTTCATGCTGAACTAAACTCTGACTTTAGTGGTTACTCAAAGAGTAATTCCACACCCTCATCAGTCTTGACAAGGAAATTCAAGATTGGGTGTCCTTATGGTTTCCTTTAGAGGATCTGGCCAAGCTCACGAGCACTGTCTTTTGTGCCAATCCCCTTTTAAGATCTCTTCCTCACCGACCTGCAGGGTGGCCACAGCTCCCCAGAGAGACACAGGCACTTCCAGGGACAGAGCTTCAGCTGTCCTGTTTTGGGCTGTGACCTTCCTTATGACTAAATAACCTCTGTGCCAAAAATGCCTGTTGCTCTCCGCTGTAAAAGGTGAGAAGCTGAGATTYRRTCAGATTAACTGGGCYCCTCTGATGCAACTTCCCTGAGACYTTTCCTCCAGCAGTTTGGGGAGAAATAGCAGAAAAACTGATGCAAGACTTTGTCACCTTCTTTCTCCTCRGTACAACACTCAGGAAGCAGGGGAAAGGAACAGCAAAGGAACAGCAATGGGGTGTGTGATTTACTTGATCCCTTGGCTGCTYTTGGTGTTTAGATAAGTCACGTTTCTGATATCTTTTGCCTGGATGAGCTCATAAGTGCATATACTTGCAGCTTCAAATGTGTCCATTCATTATTGAACAGGAAAGGGTAGTGGAGCACTTCTGTCAGAGGCTGGAAATCATAAAAGAYATAAGTGATGGTAGTAAAAACCAAGCTGTTATCAGAGGAAGAAGGGGGAGGGGGAGGAAGGCAACCCTCCTGCATTTATTCCTCTGAGACACAATTAAAACCCTGAGCAAAGATTTTCGGAAAGGACCGTGTTATTCCTTTGCTTCATGTGCCACACTCAAACTGAATTATGAATTTGCAACAGAAGGAAAGTCTTTTCTCCCACGTTTAGCTATTTGCTCCAAGTTTAAAACTAATGAACCCACGTGGCCCTGTTCTCCATGTCACCATTGGGAACATCCTGACTGGTGCTGGACTGATGCAGACCCTGGGTAAGGGAGGGAGAGCATCACCTCAGCACAGGGCAGARATGTGAAAATTCAGACTTGAGGTGGTTCAGAGTGAGAACTGACCACYTGGGATTCGCTGGTAACGTTCAGAGTTGTTACTACACACCCTGAGGGAATGTCCTGCCTTTCAAAGGCAGCTAATTCATTTTTCATCATGGTTTGGACTTGGCCTTCTTTTTTTTCCCCCACCAAAAACTCTCAGRCTTGCAGTGGAACAGAGCTATTAGAGGTGATTCATGATTTATAAATAATAAGCCTCTGTCTCAGGTTGGAATATGAAATAGGATATTTGGAAATTAAAAGCCAGCTTTGTATGGCAGATATTTTCCATTCCTCTCCCTCAAAAGTAAAAAGTAATAATGCAGGCCTAAAGTTTATAAAGATTCAGATTATCCATGAAAAATGGACAGTGTCTTTCTTCAGCTAAAAGAGTGACCCTCTGTCAACCTACATGTGCTTTTATTTAATTTATTTAACCAGATCAGCACCATGGGCAGCCTACAAATGAAACACCAACCACAGAGTGTGTGCCTGGAAGCCCTAAGACATCTTACTCTCTGTTTGATATGACTGACACATCCCATCCTTGGCATAAAATAATCATCATTATGTTTCTAAACAGTCAAGGATTGTAGAATTTAAAATYCCCTGGCTGGAGATGAAGTTTTCTGTTCATTGTAGGAGTTAATGCTTTTTTATTAGAGAAGTTAATGCAATATTGATTTTGTGCGGGGGAAAAATATGCTGCCATATTGTGATAGATACAAAAGGTGAAAAGGCTTCATAAGAAGAGATTAGTATTTTTTTTATTCATTTAAAAAAACATTCCCAGCAAATGTGCAATTGCCCAACGTGTGAAGAATTTTCCACGGGGTTAAACACTTCACCCTGTTCTTGYAGCTACAATTCTCTTTCTTTCCCTTTCCAAACACACACATAAGAGWAAAGTAATGTTATTCCTCGCTATGAAGTGTTAAAGTTAGGTAGCAGCTGTGATGGTATCAGCCAATATGTTGCTTTTAATGATCTCACTCATACATTATGAATGAGGAAATTGCAAGGCAGGAAAACATAGTGAACATAATCTTTAACTGTTCAGCTGCTAAAGAGCTTTCTGAAAGTTACAGTGCCTCTGACTTGCCTGTTTTTGSAACAACAACTTGACATCATGCTTGGCTTTACATCAGTGTAAACCAGAGATATGGTCAAACCACAAGCCATGTTAATAGGTTTTTAAGATTTAAAAAACCCTCAAAATCCTGCTTTTAGATGCATTTTGTTACATCCCAATAAAATGAACCCTTTAACTTCAAAGCAGCATGTTTGCCCATCCCCAATAAAATTAACCCAGTTATTTCAAAGCAGCATGTTTGCCCACCAGACCTCAGCCTGGCAGGTGTGCCATGAGTTTTATACCTGCATTTAGCAAATGTAGTTTTTTTGGGGTGGGCTGCTAAGTTTGCAACTCCTGTTTGAGATGGCACCAGGAAAGAGAGTGCTGAGGGCTCCTCAGGGCTGGACAAGTGGTGCCAGGGATGGTGAAACACCCAGCCTGAGCAGCAGTGCCAGTCAGGCACCGTGGATGGGGTCCCATCCCCACCCTGACAGGCTCCCAGGGGCTCCCTGACCCCACATCTCTGCTCAGCTGGGTGCCACCTTCCCCTGCARACAGGCACTGCCTCTTCTCTGCTCAGGGTTTTGCCTTCACCCTCCTTTTCCTCTCTGTTTCTTTCCTTGCCCTGGCGAACAGGGAGCTGGCTGTAAAGAAATCCCATAAAATGCTCCAGACAATTGCATCATTTGTTCYTTCTTCTTGGRCTGATAYTYTAGCCCTGATCCCCCAGAGGTGAAAATCAGCTGCAGAACCCTCTAAGGCTGCAGGAAGCTGCTGTCCTTCCTGCCTTATCGCTGCCAGAAAAGGGAAGAGATTATTGCCTTGTGCCTCACTACAGCCTTTTGGGTCYCTGAAAACTCGGACATCCCCTACAGCCAGGCTGCTGCCCCTTGGGACCCTAAAATGGGTGTTTCTGGCTGGCCCATTGTCCCATCCTTGGGAGGATTCAAGCCCAGGATGGATAAGATCTCGAGTGACTTGGTCTACGGGAAAGTGTCCCTGCCTGTGGCAGTGGGGTTTGGGACTGGATGATCTTTAAGGTCTCTTCCAGCCCTTAACATTCCATGATTCTGTGTCCCACCACAACCACACCTGTGCAGGAGCCCACCATGAGCACTGAGGACTGTCAGTAAATCACAAGCCAGCTCACCACTCTTCTTCCTTTCAGGCTATTTTGCTACAAGATAAAGAATATTCCAAATTTTCTTCACAGATATAGCCTCTTTCCATCTTTCCACTTTTAATAATTCACTAAATTTATGGGGATGTATCCCCTTTTCCTTCATGTGGGACTGCAACACTCTCCTTGCTCAATAAAGGATTTGGAAGATTTTTGCATATTTGTTTTGCATTAATTGCACAACAAAGGCATTTCCATGTCCWCCAGTTTGGGGGCTGCTGGGGTTGGAGAACAGAGAACACGGAGCTTCTTCTCAATATTCTTCCTCTCATTTTTTTCATTGTTTCTCTCATTACTTTTCAGCCAAAAGCAGTRAAAGGGAAGGCAGCAGAGCAAGAAAAAAAGGAAAAATAACTCCACCAAGCAAGGAGATGCTTGGAGAAACTTCTGCAACCTTCAAGCCTGAATTTTCTTTGTGTGAAATCATCTAAAAATCAAAGCAGGAATCATAGGGAGAAATGATGCAGCTACTGCTTTGCAGGAAATTAAATTAGATCGTAATTTCTCTTWCTTATTTTAGGAAACCATGACTCTAGATGCATTTCTGGATTATATTTATATGCAAATATTTTAATATGGATGATATACTGGAAGATGKGTATTCATTGCCTTACTAAAAGAAAAAAAAGGGAATATTTACTTCTGCTTCAGGAGACAATTTGTGTATGGAGGGCAGCCAGAAGGAGAATGTCAGAAATGTTGATTTTTATCCCTTGTAGGCAGGTATGCTCAGCCACTCCTGTCTTCACAGCACGGAACACACTCAAGAAGAAAAAGAAAAACATAATGCAATCACCTCCCAGCAGGGCTCACTTGTTCTTGGCATAAGGATTAGTGAAGACAAGATGGGAAACACAGCRTGCAAAGGAAGAAGATGAGCAGAAAAGCAGCCCCCTGTTCTCTCTGGTGCTGCACCAGAACATCCTCCCAAGCACCAAATAATGCACAGCGTGGCTGGGTGCTGGCAAACAGCTGGGACAGCCACCAAATGGACACCTGTGTCCTCTCAGACCTGGTTCCTGCTGAGAATGTTGTGTGTCACTCCATGTCCTCCCTCCCCACTGACCGTTCGCTCCAGCCCAGCAGTGACCCTGCAGGGCTGTCCCCTCCCCAGGGCTTTGTCCCTTGGGACACCCCACCTGCTGCACCATCTGAAACTCCTC